GTCGTTATCAAGACACATCTATTGGTATAAATGCGATATTTCTGAATAAAGAATAATTNATATACACCGAAGAGCCATTACATTATGACCACACTGCTAATAACATGTAGGACCACCTTTAGCCCTCAAAGTTGCTAGCACCAGTCGTGGCATTGATTCCACAAGGTGCTAATAGGTAGTCTGAGGTATCTGGTACCAAGCGCTCACCAACTGGTCCTGCAATTCCCTCACATTGCGAGGGGGTAGCGTGGCATCACAAATTTGATTTTCCAAATAGGACCACAAATGCTCTATTGGATTAAGGTCAGATGAATTTGGGGGCCAAGAAATGACTTGAAAGTCACTGGAATGTTCCTCGAACCAATCCATGACGATTCAACCCTTATAACATGGTGCATTATCCTGTTGGTAAACACCATCCCCCGCAGGAAAAACTGTTGCCATGAATGGGTGAACCTGGTCTGCAACTATGTTCAAGTAGCTTACAGAAGTCAGGGATTGTTCTATGAGGATTATGGGTCCTAATGTGCCCCATGAAAACATTGTTCCAGGGCGAGAAACCATGTAAACCTGGGCGAGCCCATTGTTATAGATGGAGGGTGGTCATACTGTAATGGTTCTTCGGCGTATATATATAAGCTACAATTATATAAACTAAAAATTAGACAAAATAAACTGGAATCTAGGGTGTATCAAGTAAACGAATAATTTTAAGAAAGTGCACGTGGTTTGAAAAAGAAACGAAAGAAAGAATCAGCTTTTAAAGTGTCTGTAAATGATTTTGTTTATTGCGTTTTTTAGAATCATTAATGGAAATAAACGAGTATCCTATACGCAGACACACACGCATGTTTCTTATTCTTTCAAAGACTACAAACATCCTTAAGACTAATAATCATTTTTTTTATCTTCTGAACAAAGAAGAGGGGTAATGTACCGTGAAAAATAGCAGTGCCGAAGTCTATATTTTTCAAACCTAACGGCGAAAAGTGATTGTGTGTTTATACAGAGAAAAGTGGAGAAAAAGTGAATTAATGAATAAATCATAAAAATTCTCTATTGTGATAGAAAGTCAAAAAATAAATCATTTCTTGAAGAAATTTTAAGTCACACCCAAGAAGCTTTTTCAATAACATTGCAAATACATATTTTAGGATTTTTTTTAAGAGAACTTGGTAAGTTTACAGTTCCCCAAAAGTTTATTTTTTATTTAATGAATGGTCTTAGAGATAAATATTCTTTACTATGGATGTGCTTAACTGTTCTGTGGAGATTTAACAGTGACACCTGATGGCATTTAAAAAAAAAAATTAGAAAAAAGTTTTTAAAAAATAACAGGGCTTTTCAATGCTTCAGGAATTTCTTAAAAAATAACAATGCTTCAGGAATTTGATTAAAACCATATTTATTTGGTACCAAATACTGCTACGCCGAATCGCGACCAAAATTGACGAGAGTTGACATTTGTTTGTGAATCAATTTTATCTATTATTTTTTTTAAAAAATCAATTCAATATATCCTATTAAATTAATTGATATGCACCTTAAATTCATAGTTTTGTTAACATCTTCAAGAATTAATCAATCCTTGTTTAAAATACATGAGTACAAATTTAAAAGTCACATTTAGCAAATATGGGAATTTTTAAAATTTATTCATATTCCTTTATTTCAAGTTATTAAATTGTATTTCACGAAGATAAACTGTCTAAGCTTTTAAAATATCAAATAACAATTAAGCTTTAGTTTGTCTTTTTGTTTTATCTTAAATATTAATATTTTCAAATCTCTATTGCTCAGACTTCATATAAAAATTTCCTAACAGCATAAAACCACAAGTCATAATAAATATTTAAAAAAATTATCTTTTTTTAAATTATTTAGTTGTAGGAAAGGTTGCAATTGACGCGCATTTTTGTTTTTCAAATAGTGGCAACCTTCATTAAATTGCCTACCACTGTTTTAAGGTAAACTTGTGTTATTTTGACATGTTACGCAATTGATAGAAAGTTACAACTAAATGGCTGCTGTCTAGCTAAAAGTTTATTTCCTCAACGGCTTTTTAAATAAATGCAAATTATACATTAATAACATTCACAAAGTAATTCTAAAAATGTGTTTACCGCTGAGTATTAATTTCTCTCTGACGCTTTTTAACAATTTAATCTAGTTTAAAAAGAAGTTGAAATGCTAAGATTTGTTTGAGTATTTCATAAATATTTGTTTTGAACAGTAACATTTTGATGGTGGGTAAAATGTACGTTTGCCACCAGCCACATGGCGATTTAAACATTGTATGTCATTCGCCACCTGATCAATACCTTTTATGTGTCGAAAATGCAGCACATGCGCATATTAATTGATACTTTGAGAAAATAAGTATGGAATTATTGTAAATATTATATGACATTCTGAAAATTAATTTATTTCACAACTGTCCTTAAAACTTTTCTTCATTTTAGATATTAACCTAGTAAATATGTTGATAAACGCTTCAAAACATTTTTACATTATTGATATCAAAAATTTTTTAACTGTTTAAAATTTCAATATATTCCCCTATAAAAAAACAACACTTTATTAACATTATATATTTTAATAGCTACGTCTAGTTTTCGGGAGTGATGTATAAAAAAGGCGCAATAAAAACACATGAAAACATCTGTGACAATTGTGAGCAAATTGCAGAATATTGTGAAGTACACATCTGGAAACAATGCGAGGAAACAATTCGATTAAAAAAAATTCCAGCTATGAAAAAAGTGTGGCTTTTTACTACATTGCCTAAAGCATATGTCGTATATCAAATGTTAATGTTTAAAAACTCAGAAAAATTCACGAGCTTTAAAAAAATACTTAACTGTTTTAATGACAATAAAAGTTAACAAAATGTTTAGTTAGCTTTTAATCAAATGAAAACAAATCCTAATACCAGTTTTTACCTATTGCACTCAAAGCGATTTCCCGCTTAAAAAAAGAAAAGTCTTTTATATTTCAGAGTATTTTATCAATGACGCGTTACTGAAGTATGTGCTTTGAACTGTAATACATTGATTATTTAATCATTGAACATGCATCTTGCGTGATAAAATAGTTTTATCAGCTTAAAAGAGCGTTAACTCTTTAATACTTCTATTTTTAGAGTTCTTTTTCACCTTCACTTAAAAGAAAATATCGATTATCACAATCTAAGGAAGCAGAAAATTATGCAATTTCTTTGTTTTTTTTAAACATGATAAATACATACCTCGATGATATAGCTTGTTAATATTTGACCTTAGCAATGTTATTTTATTAGAATGGATAATTTTTTATTAAAATATTAACAAAATATTATTCATATTAAAATGTATATATGAATGCATAGTATAAGGCACATTATTAAATAATGATAGATCTTAACATTCTTACTAAATTACTTTTTTTTTCTTAAAATAATAACTAAATATTATTCATAGTAAAATATATATACGAGTACATAGAATTGTTATTATAAAGGCATTATTAAGGCAAAAGTTTTGCAAAAACAAAAAAAGAGTAATATTTATAGTTTATTTTAGAATTCGATGAATAACAATACAGAGCTATAAACAGTGATAAGTGCTCCAAAATGCCAAAATGGTCTAAAAAAACCTTAGAGCATGAGATGAAGAACCACACTGCGAAAAAATTGTAAAATGTTTCTGAATATATGATGCAACTACCAGTACATATAGTTTTGAAAAACGATTCTTAATATTTCGGAAACTTTCTGTAAGGCTAAGTCAACAACAATGTCAACCGTCATCTGTCAAAAGTTACCTAAAGATGGAATCGAGTTAACGTGTAACAACTGTAGTGTTAGCTACGCTACATTACTCCTCCACCAAAATTCTACCTGCAATAGAATTCGATGAATGGATACCACTAGTTGATTCATTTCTGTTTTACGAGAAGGCGGGAAAGCTGTATTAAGATCGGGGCTCTGACTGCTGGTCGTGAGAGCTGTATTAGGGTAACTTGTGGATATGATCGGTCCTGAGTTGCAATTAACAGTCGAGTATGTACAGGCCACCGTTGTGTGTGATCGAGAATGAGCAGTAGTCAATGACACAGTCAGAAATAGTTAGGAATAGATGGTTCACTGTGAACCATCCATCGAACTAGGCGTTTTCAAATTGAAGAGCGCGTTTCAGTCGAGGTAGGTGTGTTGGACGCGACAAGCGTGTTCAGAACACGTCTGAGAGTCACCCTTTGCTATCGGCAATGTCAACCTTCATCTATCAAAAGGTACCGCTTATTTATTTTATTTATTTATTTTTTTTGTCGTATGCCTGTTTAGGCAGCGATTGTTTCTGTTTTTCAGTGGCGCCATCTATGACCAGGAATTCGACTTCTGCCACGCCATTCACAAAACCACAACCCGTTTATAGGGCGGGTCACATTCACACATAAAGAAGAAAGGACATTGAACACACAGAGAGAGAAAGAAACATCCATGCCTTGCCCGGGATTCGAACCCAGGACCTTTCTGATGCAAGGACAGTTCTCTGCCCCTACACAGGACGGTCGGCGGTACCTCTAATAGAATTAACATGTCTTTTTTATTAATGAATGGGAATTGAATACTTGTAGCTAAATTATTCTCCCACCCTGATAGAATCCAGTTAAAATATAAAGAAAATAAATTTCTATTTTATTGTTTTCTTTATGGGCATGAGACTGAAGAAGAACAATCATATACAATCCTTCTAACACAATTTAATCATTACTTTTTTTAAAAATCAAATTCTTTAATTAACTTTCCGTCAACTTTCAAAACTTTTAAAATTTAACTTCGATCTTTTAAACTATTGAGCGATATTTGATAGATGCAAGAAAGTAATAAAAGGAACTCAAATGATTTATTGTTTTTCAATATAACGATTACTTAAGTTAGTTTGAGAAACTTAGTTTTAAAAAAATATTAACTAACCTTAGGAAATATCAAATGTTAAAATAATAAAATGTAATCTACTTACAATCTTAATAAATTCGGCATCGTAGAAAATAAGAGGTCAGGTAAGCTTCTCAATTTATTGTTGTTTAATCTCCTGAAAAAAAGAGTAAGGATATTTAGTTACACAATTTTATAATGAAACCTTATAATAAAAACTTAATTATAATTTATTTGATGTTTAAAACACGTAACTTATCATAATTTTTACACGTAAGTGCAGTACATCTAAAAATAATTTTCATTGTCAATTCTTGAAATAAACTTTCATTACAAAAAGGAAAAAAAAAATTCGGTTTAAAATGAGTACATATTTTACGTTGCAAAGTTTAAGTTAAGTAAGAATTAATAGAAAAATTTGAATTATGGAACGAAAAAATAGGATAATTGAAGTATGTCCAAATTTTTCCCCCTTAGATGTGAACATCATATTTTATGAACTGGCAAATCCTAGACTGAAAACGTGGGATTGGAAATATAAAATCTTATTTGATTGCTGGAAAAAACCGAAAAAAGTTAAAAGATGATTATGAAAAATCTCAGGCAATCAAACTGGTTTTTATGTCGTTAGCCCTGTCCCTTTTACTAATGTATAGACACTAGCATTTTTTTCCTCGAATTTATTTTTGGCCCCATGTGTGATGTGTAGACTTTTTTTTAAACATTACTTAGGAGGATTTTAAAAACATTAAAAAAATCATAAATATATAATAGTCAAAGATATCAGGACGATATAAATATTCGAATTCCTGTGGCAGTTTTAAAAAATACTGTCTCTAATAATGTCCACTGTAATCTAATTTGAAAAGCGTACATTAGTTTTCCTTAGTAATAATAATAATAAATAATTTTTTTTTTAAGAAAAACAGTGCTTTACTTGACAAGGTTGGCTGAAGTGGGCACTCGCTGGTCAATTCCCACGAACGGAAGAATAAAATTTCATTAAATGCTATTTTAAGTAGTTTTTATTTTTAATGAAATAAATAATGATTCATCCTCTATGCAGTAAATTAACGGAAATAAAAATTTGAAATAAATACTATGTTTTGAAATTTGAAAAATTTCTTAATTTAAAGATGGAAGTTAATTAGAAATGCAATTGATTCTTTTTTTTTTACTATACAAAAATATCACTTAAACAAACATTTCATTGAACTACATAAAAATAGTTTAAGATAGTTTTGCTTTAAGCCTGATCATTGCTTTAAATTTACAAGTAAAATACAGCTAATAGTATCATTGATATTATATAGTCATAATGGTAAAATTATCCATCTCAATAAGTTTTACTAAATTTAAATAAATAGATGTTAAGACGTGCCCTCATAAATTTTGAGTAGGATTTATTGATGAATAACAGAGCTAAAACAAAACATATCACTTTGTTACATACTATTTATTGCTTTAGACACAGTAACATCAAAACATCAAAAGAACAATCAGAACCGAAATGCATTACAAACTGTCCCATTTCCTACCCAATAAAAATTCTTTATTTGATTCCCTTAACATTCATGGGACTCTCATATCTAATTTGTTTAACAATAAAAAGTGATCCTGTAGAAGCTATGGGACATTCTCTACCTTTAACATTCGTAATCATACTCTTAAATTTTTCATTGCCGATCCCCAAATATTACCAAACACTAGTTATCAACACGATGGAAAATTTACAAGGAGCTAAAAATCTGCGAAATTACAAGTTTCAGAAGAGTTACTAGTTTGTAATAGTTAAATGTTTTGACGATCCCTTATAAAATAACCGACTGTCTTATGGATGGACAAAAAAAAAACTGAAGCAAGACTTATCGTTTTGCTGGATGCTATTTATTGCTCCAGACACAACAACATTAAACACCCGAAAAGCAATCACAACCAACACGCATAACAAATTGCCCTTTATTCTTCTCAGTACGAACACTCTATTTCATATCTGATTTGTTCAACATTAAAAAGTGATCCTGTAGAAACTATGGGGCATTCTCTACCTTTGAGATTCGTAATCATACTCTAGATTTTTCATTGCTGATCCCCAAATATTACTAAACACTAGTTATCAACTCGATGGGAAATTTAGAAGGCTCTAAAAATATGCGACATTATACGTTTTAAAAGAGTTACTAGTTTGTAATAGTTAAATGTTTTGACGATCCCTTATAAAATTCCCAACAGTCTTATGGATGGACCAAAAAAAAAAACTGAAGCAAGACTTATCTTTTTTTTTTGGATACTATTTATTGCTCCAGACACAACAACATTAAACACCCGAAAAGCAATCACAACCAACACGCATAACAAATTGCCCTTTATTCTTCCCAGTACAAACACTCTATTTTATTCTCGTAACATACATGGTACGCTCATATCTGATTTGTTTAACATCGAAAAGATAAGATCTACAAACATACATCCTGTAGAAACTATGGGGCATTCGCTACTACTTCGGCACCCGTAATCACACTCCAGATTTATCATTGTCGACCCCCAAGAATTACCAAACGGTGGTTGCCCAATTCGATGGATATCTTGGCGATCAAAAAACAAGGACATACACAGCAGAAGCATCGCTCCAGGACGCCATGCCACAAGGGGCTTAGAACACGATGTAATAAAAACACTAGTTCTATCCCCCTTTCCGGGGGGAATTGTCCACCTGAATGACGTAATGGAATTCGAAGTGAAGAGCTATGCTCCTGGAAAAGGGGGGAAACTTACGGTTAATTTCCCGGAGTGGCTCAATTTGTCAAATGCAAGGGAAAGGCGAGGAAAGTAGGGGGGGGGACAGGCTAATTAATATGAATGCAGTATCATTTGTTACTTCTGTCTGATGAAAGCATAAATCTGATTAAGCTAAGGTATTTTCCGGATTACAGGAGAGGGATTGAGGGTTTTGTTGAGGATTGTACCCAAGCATATGGGATTGATACCCTCAGTTTTACTTTCAAATCACGCTAGTGAGTAAATATTTAATTAGACAACACTTTGCTAGCAGCATCAGAAAAACTCATCAGATATCAATAGGGTTTTGCACCGAAAGTGTATAAAGAAAATGGATTTTAAAAAGGTACGTAAAAATTATTTGTGGTGCATAAAAGTAAATAGGCAACTAAGTTCCAGCCATTTTTATTTCTTATTCCGTTTTCGCATACGAGGATATCATGTTCGACCGGACCAAGTTGGAGAAAAATAAGCATTTTCAACACATTCATTCTGCTTTTGGTCAAGGTAATAAAGGTAATCAAGGGCTGCAAAAGCTTTTGTGACATATGTGTTATGTATGGAGAGTGTGAAATAGTTGAATTTAGACTTCAATTCGCATCTCATTTTGGCCCTTCACGTGAGTTCAATGAAGAGCGATTGAAGTTACGTTCGCACGCCAATTGTTATTGTTATTGTTGCTAATTTACGTAGCACTAGAGCTGCACAATGGGCTATTGGCGACGGTCTGGGAAACATCCTGGAGGATGATCCGAAGACATGCCATCACAATTGCACGCTAATTCCCATCAAACGACAAGAGAACTGACTGAGAAAAAGGAAATGGCTCCATACTTTAAATTTTAAAACTGGGGGGGGGGGGANGGGGGGGGGGGGGGGGAACTTAGTTGCCAACCCAATAGTAAGTATAAATTAGTTGATATTGAAATAGTAAATAAGTCTACAAAATCGAAAGCAGCTTCAAAAATACTCCTTAAATATCAATAGGTTTTGTAAAGAAAATGGAAAACGGATTTTAAAAATTATATAAAAACAAATCTGCTAGAAAATACTGGTGGTAATATCATTTTAATTCTACATTTTATGCAGAAGTAGTGGTGAATAATTCATAACTATCACTATTTTGTTACAATTATAGCATATACAGTTAAACCTCTCTAGAGCGACCATTTTTCTGTTCCACAGTTAACTGGCCGTTAATGGAGGTTGGTTGTTCTTAGGAGTTACCTCCATTAACTTCAAAATGGTATCGAAGGTACATGATTTATCACAAGTGACTTTGATTTTACTCAGCGTCATTTTCTTGGTGCAGAAATGTCACTTGTGTTGGTGTCGTGAAAACCAGATCAAGGAATAAAATTTAGAGTCAATAAAAATGACCCCTACTGATGTAATTACATATAAAAACACACTTGCCAATTACGAATAATAAAACTATTTTAAATGAATAAACAATTGTGTTTTTTTTGTTTAAGATAGCATTTAATTGTATGTCATAAAAATTAGTTTACTTAAAAAAATGAGAAGAGGTTTGTTTGTTTCAAATGCTTAGTTGTTTTCTAAAATCTCCGTGTCTAAAATGTGGTCGTACATAGAGAAGGTCGCTACTCAGAGGTAATCTTTCTTGGAGGTTTCACTGTATAGATTAACAAATTAATTAAATATGAAAATTAAAAATATTCTTTATTCAAATTTAATTTGAATAAAGAATTTATAATCCAGAATGATCATTTCATTCAAAAAGAAGGTAAAAAGGAAATGTTCTTTATACCCCGATAAAATAAGTAAGGTCAAAACTACCAGAATAAGGTAAAATTTACGGCGTTTCTAACTCTATGGGAAACCCAAATAGCTTAGTATTTTTTACCGAAGCTAGGTAAAAATTACTAAGATTGATTTGATCCACCATCGCAAACACGCCAAAGAATTAGTAAAAATGCAGTAAAAAAAAGAATGCAATGTTGTTTAGTTTATCAACAATCAATCAATTTATCAACAATTTATCAAACAATTTATCAACATATTACAATCATTAAAATTTTGAAAATATTAAGCACCGGGCTCTAATTATTTGAATTAGTCATTGAATCTTTTCTTTTTTGTTGACGGTTTTAATATTATATGGTATTAACTCCTGTCAACAACTAAAGGCTGAGTGCCATTTCATCTATTTAACGTCGAGTACAAAAAGTAGAGATTAATATTTAAGTTACCAGTGCGAATCTAAATTTACTACTTCTGCGACCCTCAAATATTAAAAACCTCATAAATTCACATCTTTGGAATAATTTCAAAATTATGAAGTTTTTAAACATTTTGAGTAAGTAGAGTATGAAAATTCTAGCATCTCCAATAATCTTCACACTTAATACATATTTT